CACAAGCATCGTGTTTTGGGAAAATCATATAACACTTCTCAACTTCTCCAACAATGGGAAAAACCCATCTGTAATTTGATTTATGATTTCCTGTTAGAACAACCGCATCAAGATCATCATCCTACATCAGCATGAACCATATCTAGACCTATCCCCTATACCCTTATAACAAATAAACAAATGCTTTGTTTCTTTTTTTTAGATATGTATTACCCTTGGGGGGGTATATATATGGATATATGTGTTAGATTTATATGTATCATAGGGGGGCGTTTCGTCATGAAGATTCTCGTAACACTACAAGTCGAGTAAGATCCTACCCGATAAGATATCTACGCCCGTACCTGTAACCTAACGCAGGTCGTTGCCTGCTGCAGACTGTTGCCGCACAGTCACTGCGGTCTTGTGCCGAACCTTACGTGTATTGCTGTTGCTGCCAGCGTCTATGGACCGGTAACGTTGTTGCAACACCTTGCCTCGCCGTACCACCCAGTGCGCAGAGCATGCTCATTCGCGGTCTTGTTTCCGCGTACGCGCGCATTTACTCACAGGTGTTGTTTTCTACTATTATAATTGACGTATTTCTGAATCATAAACACTTTTGTGTTTTTTAGAAGACTCAACTTGAAATTCGTCGTATTACTCGTGTTATAACTAAATGTATCTAATAATAATAATAATATATATATATATATACATATATATCTCTCTCTCTCTCTCTCTCTCTCTCTCTCTCTCTCTCTCTCTCTCTCTCTCTCTCTCTCTCTCTCTCTCTCTCTCTCTCTCTCTCTCTCTCTAAAGCCTAGCGCACCTGTGATTTTTGGTTGCTCATCGCTGCAACATGCAACCGCAAGCGATCGGTCAATCTGTCACCGCGTGTGCGCACACATGCAATTTCGAGGCAATTCTAGAGCAATTTGGGAGCGATTGGGAGCGACACGTCGCAAGCCGTCAGAATCGCTACGGGTTGCAGTTACCAGTGGCGGCACCAGGATTGTAAAAGTGGGGGGCAAACGGAAGGCAAGGCGAATTGTTGGGGGGCAAAATGTTGTGACCGCGTAGCGCGAGAACTAATCGGTGGGGTCCAGCGGCCGGCCTAACGGCCCCTGGTGGGGCCCAGGGGGCGATGCCCCCGGAAGCTCTGAGCTTTTAGCATTTTTGAGGTGAAAAATCAAGCCTCTGTCAAGACTTAGTCATGCACAATCGCCCGGCCGTGGCCGTTACCCGCACCGAAACGGTTCAATTGCACACGGTATCAATGTTGAAATCAACATGCTTTGTAAATGCTAGTGTTTTAAATAAAGGCTATCCACGGAAATTGCTGTTTCGCGGAAAGCTAAAGGGGAAAATCGTAGTGGCGGAAATCGAATAAGAAAGCGGGAATTTTCCGCCAAAATCGGAAGCGTTGGGAGGTCTGCTACTCAATAAGAATTCAAATTACATAGACTAGGGTTAAAACCCAAAAATTGAAAGGCAACATTTTGAGCCTATGGAGTAAAACTAATATTGCCATTGCTCCTGGGAACTATGTCCTTAAAACCTTTGTACAGGAGCTGACTGGGGAGCAACTTGGGGGCAAAGGCTTTGACTGGGGGGGGGGCAAATGACCCCCATCCCCCCTTGGCGCCGCCACTGGCAGTTGCACATTCCCGCAGACGTAGCGATTTCACAGCAATTTTTACAGCGATTCTAGAATCGCTGTCAAGTTGCATGAAAAAATCGCAGGTCTGCGCTAGGCTTAATCCATTTTCCCCGTCTTCACGTCCGTATTTATACCCTGGGCGTGGCTTTTCCGTGGCCACGTGTAGACTAGTAGTTAGACGTTAGTATAGACTAGTGCCAATGCTGCAACAGGCAAGTGAAATGCCCGTCTATAATCATAGCGTCTAATCCGAGTCGAGCAGCGGCGTGTTTGCTGAACGCGCGCTCTTCACATTAGGACCTCGTTAAGCGCGATCAACTCGTACGATGGTGATCGTAACTTCCCAGTTAAGTTAAGAGATTAGTCAAATGCCTCGGCATCAGTAGTCTGCTGATCTAGTGAACCACCCAGTGTGGAGGGAGCCGATGTGAGCTCCCATCGGCTCCCTCCACACAGGGTGGTATGTACATCCCGCTGCGTACAACGGCTGGTACATGGGGATTTTCGTGATCCGCAGGTAATGATATCGGTGGGTTGACTGTCGGTGTGACCTCCTTATATAGGGTGCTCCTTGCACGACTCATGAAACGAAAGTTTCGATGTAGAGATTCAAAATAACAGAACTTGCACTTTTGTGAATAACACAAGTATAACGAGTAAGGAGGGGTGGGTGTTTTGGGCCCTTGGGGTACATTACTAGTGAACCTTTCCCTGTAATGTGGGTGGCAATTTATCTAACATGGGTGACATTTTCAACCCGTGTTTGTAAGAATAAAATGACCATGTAGGTGCCCTCACGGGTAAGACTGAATGGCTTAATTACTGAGTGCCTTGCGCTCATTAACTGCTACGCTATTGCCCCGGGCTCTGCTCGCCTCTTTAAAGTACCGTCATTTAGAAATCTTCACTCTTTCAGGTGGATTTCTAAGTTCTGCTAATGGGCGCAAAGCTTCGTGTGACCATATCTCACTATCCTCTCGCTATAGTCTCCCCTTTACGTACGTGGACTATTTTCAGCGAGTCTGGGTACTATTCTACGTATTTACGTACGATTTCGGGCATTGCACGACGCAGTTGAAAACTCGTAAGCCATGAGTAAAGCAACAGACTAACATTCAGGATCGGTATGATGAAGGCGGTGGCGGTAGGAAAACTGCTCGATTGTTTCGCTAACACACTCGTATAGTATGAAGCCTGCGTTTTGAAAACGATCGTTTCCACTTTAATTACGAAAAAAGGATGTGCCGACACAAAATTGCTTCACTCACCCGTAATACATATTGTAGTGTCGTTCATCTCTTGTGCTCTTGTTCGCTTGCTTGCCAGCCGTAGGCTTCCTATTAAGCTGATTTAGCGGCTGCTGTCTCAGCGGCTGTGGTTCGTTCGTGTGACCGCCTTCTTCTCTTCCTTGCGTCGTCGTGATCGCATTCTGCAGTTATTCGCTTCGCCGTGATCGTATTCTGCAGTTCTTCGCTTCGTCGATAGCCAGGTTGTAGAAACTCAGAGTTCTGGCTTATATGCACCTTAGCGGCAGCATCCTTGTTCGTAGGTGTTGCCATACTCAAAATTCGCATGAGCATAAGGTCAATACTTCATTCTGAACGTCACAGCAGTATGCTGCAATCAATAGTCATCCTCTTCTTCTTCTTCTTCATCGTTACAGCTGTCTCCAGTCAGTGTTTCTCTCGACTACCGTGCATCGTATTGCGGCCAGTACGTTCTCTTCGTTGTGTCCACAAAGAAAATGAATACACCAAGTTCTTTGATTGACAGCACTAAATGTAAGGACGTTTTACCTACGTCTCTGCGCGGGTAGTCAATGACGGTCGAACGCCAGTCGCCTATTAACTTCCACGGGCTACGTACGTACGCATGAATGTATGTATGTATGTATGTGTGTATGTGTGTGTGCGTGCGTGCGTGCGTGCGTGCGTGCGTGCGTGCGTGCGTGCATGCATGCATGCATGCATGCATGCATGCATGCATGCATGCATGTATGTATGTAGGGGAACCCGGGGCAAAGCGGAACACGAGGCAAAGTGGAATTGTCTCAGCAGATCTATGTTGATGCCCCCATCTATCTGTGACTGTTTTCATTAGAAGCTCAGTTGATGATGCATCGTTTTTGATGGATTCCATTTGCATGAATCAGCTATGTACATTTTTTTGGACGAAAGTCTGTTTTTTATGTGTTTAAACGGATATTTCTTAAAAATGAATCATCTGCTAAATCACTGTGATCTTGTGGAATTCTTATGTAGGCTATTTTGTTGAATCTAAGGCCTATGTGTGCCATATGCATGATGAAATTCTTTGCGTAGTTGTCTGCACAGCGTAACGCCACATCACATGTATAGAAACTATCATGTGTTCGGGGCA